GGAACATAGTAAGTAGATCATACATTATAAATTATTATGCCTTTCACCACTTTGACATTGCTAAACCTGTACTTACATACATATACTAAATATATTTGATTTTTATATGATACAGTGGTTACATGTCTCCCGAGTACGCTATGGAGGGGACTTTTTCGATAAAATCTGACGTCTATAGTTTCGGGGGGTTAATGCTTGAAATCATTAGTGGTAGGAGAAATAGTAGCTTCTACAATGCTGATCGCGTGCTCAATATAGTAGGATATGTATGTCTTTCAAATCAAATTTACGATTAACATTTTCTTTTTTGAATTGTGAACATATATATCATGAATCTTTCAACAACTTAATTAAATGAGTGCAATATTTTTTCAGGCATGGGAGTTATGGAAAGAAGGCAGGGGGCTAGAGCTAATGGATCCAACACTAAAGGATTCATGTACTGAAGATCAATTGTTAAGATGCTTCCATGTTGGTCTGTTATCCGTGGAAGAAAATGCAGCTGATCGGCCCTCCATGTCTGACGTCATATCTATGTTGACTACTGAAACCATTTCAATGCCACTACCTACAAGGCCAGCATTCTTCACAAGAAGAAATTTTATTGAGTCTGATATAAGTAGAAGGGAGTTGCAAATTATATCAGTAAATGGCTTGTCTAATACCACAGTTGCTGGACGATAGAGGATTTGTCTATTAGCTAAACAATATCTTTAGGCCATAATTACAATGGTACCTTCATTTTGTATTCCCTGTGAAAGTAGGTTTTCTTATGGATTATAGTTTTTTACTAGCAATGGTGCCCGCGCGATGCTGCGGGTTTTGATATTGTGTGAAATGTGTATAAAGTCGTGAAAATATGCAGGGAAAATGGTACTATTTATATAAACATGGAGATCTAAATAGTGGTATCATGCTTAGTCTAGCAAGCTTAAGTTACAAAAAATAAACTAATAACACGTTTTATGTGCTGCTTGTTATGTGAAAACATTGGGCATATTTTAATGATTCAAAACGAAAAACATAGAAAATAAACTCAGCAAGCAACAAAATCCCAGAAAGACTGCCTAAACAAATTATACTAATATAATCAATAACAATTTTCCATTTTTTCCTGTAAAGTAAAAAATGGAGAATTTCAAAAACTCATCACAAAGTCCTCATTCACAATCTCGATCCTTAATTAATCAGAAAAAATGTACTAATATGGTATGAAAGTTAAAAAAAGAAGAAGAAAAAATACCCAGGAATCCAATAGAAGTAGTAGATCAATTGAAGTATTATAAAGTGATTCTTTAGTTCTAACCTTTGTAAGTATATTATTGGATTAAAAGAGTCTTCGAGTTTTGTTGTCTTAGTAATTAAGAGATAAAGTGATTTTTCAGTTCTAAGTATTGTTATTACTCTACCTATCATCACAACAACAAATTAACAACCCATTACAGCAACAAAATCATTACAAATTGTCGAAATTGGCATGCTTACTTTCCCACAACAACAATATTAACTGCAACAGATCATCACAGCACAGAATCAATTTGGGCAAGGAATCAAAGGATTCAACAGCATACTCAGAAACCCATCAGCAAGCCATTAATTCGTTAAACATTTACTACGTTAGACATTGACAAATAATCAAAATGGGTACAAATTTATTAATTAGAAAAAATAAAGTATAAACGGCAGAGAGAACAAACCTCATTAACGGCAAGCACTTACCATAATATTAAGTTTAACGCAAAATTCACCGATGAAGATTTGGGATCGCAAAAGCTGAGCTGAAGGATTATGCCCAGAGCTTCATCCCGTAAATCTTAGGGAGCTCATCAAATGCCGTAGGGAGCTTCCTCCAAACAACCTGGTACTGGTGTAAACTGCAACACAAAAACGACAACGCTAATTGCAGCCCAAACATGCAAATGCAATTTCATATCTCTTCATAAACTTCTAAATCTTAAACCAAATGGACTTGATAGTTTCAGTCCACTGGATATCGCGGTTTTTTTTTTTCTTTTTCAAATCACAAAAAAGAAGATCCTATACTTGTCCTGTCATACTTTAATTTGACAGCTACTATAATAATATTATACATATTGAATCATAATTAAGTGTTTGGTTTGTTGCCATTCACAGTATTGTAATAAGATGCGGGTCAATAATTATTTTATATTCTCAATTCAAGAAATCAAGAAATCAAAGGAATATAGACATAGAAATACATAAACTTATAAATTAGGAAATGAATTAACAGCATAATGTTTAGAGGGTGTGTGTCCATTTTCAATAAGTGGGAAACTTTGCAGCTACAGATAATCACAACTGGCTTAAACCCATAATTATTAAACAGCTATATATCGGGAATCAAGGACCCATGCTTCTATGCATTCAAACCGCCTCATAAGATTCAAACAGATAAAATAAAATCTTAGAAATGCATATCAGTCTAATCTCTCAAGCTCTCAGAGTCGGGAGTTAGAATAGTTAATTCTTTGTTGCTTCTTGGGACTCAACAGTTCAGCACAATAGGCATATAAATACCAAAAAGCTCAATAATTGATATAGTTTGGCCAAATTCTATAGAAGTTCAAGGAAAACCAAATACTTAAAAAGGAACAAAGGTATGATTGAAGCAATATTTTACACAACCTACACAACTACTACACTTGAAAAACTATGCAAGTCCACAAAACCCATTTGATCAAACTTACAAAATTTTAAAAAAAACGACAATAAAATTGAGAACAGATGTCACCTGAAGAGGTACAAAGGCAAGCCCAACATAGTGTTGGTTTTGTTTATATTGCTGAGTAAATTTTCAGTTGGTTAATCTGTCTGGTATTGATAAACTAATGAAGATTATGTCTTAATCAGCAATCTTTATAAAAGTGAATTCATAAATACTAATGTGAAATGTAATTAGACCCTATCTGGTATAGTCCAATCTTAAACCAACATCATTGGAAATACTGAGTGGAAAAAGTGCTTCTATTCTCATTTCGGCTCTTGCCAAAGAGCCCAATGAATGCAACCAATTGGCACAATGTGTGACTGAAAAGATCAGAGAAGAAGGGCTTGAGGAAGTACTTGATCCTAGACTACTTGGTGAACTCGATAAGAAAAACATTGATGAAAGTTGCTCTACTGTGTGTTCAAGATGATTGCAGTGCAAGGCCAGCCATGAGTAAAGGCCAGATGAAGAAGATCAGAGAGAGTAAATAATAGAAGCTAAATGTATAATAAACAATATGAACTGTAATCTGTGGTTTTACATTTATTTAGCTTCCAAATGTAATCAATGATTAGAATTCCAGCATTTCAGCTTAATAAAAGGATTTATTCCAAAAAGTTTCAGTTTTGGGATTGGCCCTATTAACTATGCTAAAACATTGCAATCAGTTCCTAGGAACCGCACCAGAAAAACCATTAAATAACAAAGCTAACTCTAATCCTAAATGATTTGACGGGAAATTTAAAACCCAACCCACTGAGAACTATGCAGGCTTACCTTGTCCGACAATTAAAGAAGACGACTATGATCTCTGAGACCTCTCTCTTTCGGACTTCTCTTCGGTGAACACGGCTTTCTTTCTGGTTTGAGAAGCGGACGCGGGTATGAGAGCTGCAGGGGCTTTAGTTTTGAAAAAGAATCAAACTGAGAAAGAGGGCTATGTAGCTGTTCATCAGGGCAAAAATGACATTGCACTGTCCATCAGTGAACATAACTAAGAGGGCAACCAGTCAAGCAAGGGCACAAAGGTCATTTCACTATTCCTAAGCTACAGTCTAGGAACAGTAACTTTTATTCAGTTTTAGTATATATATAATTTGTTTTTGGACGAAATGGATTATAGTTTTTTAATTGGCAATGTTGAGAATGAGAGCGATGCTTCCAGATCCTTCTCTTCTTTACTTACCAATTTTACATGTGGCTTTAAATCTTTTCACCTACACCTCTTCTTTCTTCATAAAAATCCTCATTTCCTAACGCGATTTGATATCCCAAGCTCTGACTTGCTGTTGCTCTTCTTCCTCTCTGGTGCTCTTCTTCTCTCCGATTTTGTCGGGTTGTGGTAAGAATCAAAATAATTCCCGGTCTTCCCCTTTTTTGGTTGTTGTTGTTGTTGTTGTTGTTGTTCTGGTTGTGCGTGTTCTGGAGTGTGGTAAGAATCAAAATAATTCCCGGTCTTTATTTTTAAAATTATTTGTTTCTTTGGTTGATCGGAGGTGCTCTTCAAGTTCTTGTCAAATTTTGATTTTTTTGTTTTTTTCTTTTCTGGTTTGGAGTATTTATATTTTAAATGGTCTCATGGAATTTCTTTGGGTTTAAGCTAACATTTTATATTTTAAGGTTTAAGCTGATCATGATGAGGTATAATGTTAGCATTGTTTCAAACGAAAATGAAGACTACTTCACTTACATTGCTTTAAACCAAAGTTCTCCATCACAATGGTTGCTTACCTCAACTGGGCGACTATATGACTTTGGAGGATTTGATATTGCAAGGGCAGATAATTGTTATGGCTATAACACTGATGGAGGGTGCCAGAGGTGGGCGGAGAAGCCAACTTGTAGGCATGTTGGTGATACATTTGAGCTAAAAAATGGTTTCTTTAGACTAACCAGCTCTAATTCAACATTCCTGAATGATTCAGATACAAGTCTCAGTATTAGTAGTGATTGTAAGGATTCTTGTTGGAAAAATTGTGAGTGCCTTCGGTTCAACTTTCTGTTTGATATTGATCAGACTGGATGCCAATTTTGGACAAGTTTCAATTTCATATCAGTTCCTTTTGATGTACGAACATGTTCAGAAGTTTCTATTTAATATCAGCTCACATTATTCCACAACAGACAATGCATACAAACAACAAAAGATAATTTGCCGCGCGAGTTCATTCAAGACTTTGATGGTGATTCTACATTAAGTTTTTACTTGTTAAAAAAGTCACCTCTCAATCATACTAAATCATTAACCTTTTGAATTAATGAGCTGTCAACAAGTTTCAATTTCATATCAGTTCCTTTCGATGTACGAACATGTTCAGAAGTTTCTATTTCATATCGGCTCACATCATTCCACAACAGACAATGCATACAAACAACAAAAGATAATTTGCCGCGCGAGCACATGCATACATTTATAGGCAATTAAACTGGAAGTTCATTAACTACACAATGCAGGTAAACACAAGGGGATATGGATTGGTATTGGCATCGCCGCTGCTGCTCTGCTGCTAATGGTACTCTGCATCTTCTGCTATCTACTAAGAAGAAGAAAATTTACACTTTCAGGTACATAGAGTTATTCACATCCTTGAAAATTGTTGTTATAAATATAGATGTTTAACTTACTACCTTAATCTAAATAGGGGAGAACGAGACAAAGATCATTGAGAATGAATTGCTTGACTTAATGAAATCTGATAGACCTACTGATGCCAATGCACTTCAAAATGATGGAACGATGCGACAGGATTTAAGCTTGTTTAGCTATGCATCTGTCATGGCTGCCACATGCAACTTCTCCCCAGAAAACAAGCTTGGACAAGGGGGTTTTGGGCCTGTTTATAAGGTAAAGGCTTTAGATTATAAGAAGTGTTTTGTTATTAATAGCTAAGTATAAATAGGTGATCATTACGTGAGATATTGTGGGTCATCAATTCAGGGAAAATTGCTGACGGGACAAGAAATCGCTGTGAAGAGGCTTTCAAAATGTTCAGGGCAAGGAACGCTGGAGTTTAAGAATGAATTGATACTCATATATGAACTCCAACATAAAAACCTTGTCAAACTTTTTGGATTTTGCATTCATGGCGAAGAGAGGATGCTAATATACGAGTATATGCCAAACAAAAGTTTGGACTACTTTCTATTCGGTTGGAAGCACTCACTTTAATCTTATTACTTGATTTATTTTGTCACTTAATTGTCAAAAATACATATAGATCATCATCAACTTATAATTTCACTCTATATTAGACAGATTCAACCAGAGTCATGCTACTAGATTGGAAGAAGCGCTTTAGTATAATTGAAGGAATTGCTCAAGGATTGCTTTACTTGCACAAGTACTCAAGAGTGAGAGTAATTCATAGAGATTTAAAAGCTAGTAACATACTACTTGATGAAAACATGAACCCCAAAATTTCTGATTTTGGTATGGCAAGGATTTTCAAGCATAATGAACTGGAAGCAAATACTAATAGGGTTGTTGGAACATAGTAAGTAAACAATTTGACATTCAAAATTTTCAGTTTGCTAAACATGCATTTTTGTATGCCAAGACGTACTAAATTTCTGTTCTATTTGATACAGTGGTTACATGTCGCCTGAGTACGCCATGGAGGGCATATTTTCCATAAAGTCTGATGTTTATATCGGTTTGCTAAACATGCATTTTGTATGCTGAGACGTACTAAATTTCTGTTCTATTTGGTACAGTGGTTACATGTCTCCTGAGTACGCCATGGAGGGCATCTTTTCTATAAAGTCTGATGTTTATAGTTTTGGAGTGTTAATGCTTGAAATCATAAGTGGTAGGAGAAACAATAGCTTCTACAATGCTGATCGCCTGCTCAATATAGTAGGATATGTATGTCAAGCAAATTAACAGTTGTGATGACTAAATTTTTCTTCTTAATTTGAGGTGTGTGATTCTGTATAATTGAATTAAGTCTTTGTTTCAGGCATGGAAATTATGGAAGGAAGGCACAGTGCTAGAACTAATGGATCCAACAGTAGGTGATTCATGTATTAAAGATCAATTCTTAAGATGCATCCATATTGGCATGTGGTTGAAGCTGATCGGCCCACCGTGTCGAATGTCATATCCATGTTAACAAATGAAAGCATGCTATCTGCATTACCTACAAAGCCAGCATTTTTTACAGGAAGAAATGTGGTTGAAGCAAGTATAAGTGGAAAAGAAACAGAAATTTTTTCAACAAATGACTTATCCAATTCCACTGATGTAGCACGATGACGGTATGCTTGTTTTGCCATGGACAAATCACTTGAGCTTGCACTTGGTATGTCCCTGTGGAAATGGTGGCTATCTGATCGTGATGTCCATGCAGAGACACATCATCTGTATTTAACTGATGGAAACATCTCTTTCAGTGACACATAAATTTTGGATTAAGTTTTTGTAATATATGATATTGGCATTAATTTGTAAAATTAACTCCCAATTAGTAAAACTTAAAATAAAACTTTACAATTGCAGCAAATTAATGAGGAAATAATCCTCCTATCACTGTCATTCTTGCTTGAAAACTTGGAAGAAACAGAGAAGAGAAGAGGGGACACTCTATCTTCTCTTAAGCCATCAAAGTTTGAAGTTCAAATAACTCCTTAGTTTCCATGTCTGACGTCGTATCTATGTTGACAGACCACTGAAACAATTTCATTGCCATTACCTACAAGGCCAGCATTCTTCACAAGAAGAAATGTTATTGAGTTTGATATAAGTAGAAGGGAGTTACAAACTGTATCAATAAAACTAGTATGCAAACGTTACCTAAAGGGAAGGCACCTTCTACAGTGCACCAGGTGCACCCATGCACCATTTGTCCTTTATGATGCTCCCAGATTTTTTAAAAAGTTGGTTACCGGTTATACAAGTTATCAAGTTTCCACTTTTTGATATCTAAGTTGACAACTGAAACCATCTCATTGCCATTACCTACAAGGCCAGCATTCTTCACAAGAAGAAATGTTATTGAGTCCGATATAAGCAGAAGGGAGTTAGAAACTGTGTCAATAAAACTAGTATGCAAATGTTACCTAAAGGGAAAGGTTTCAACTTTTTTCTCGTATGGTCAGTGCAAGTAGTTAATATTAATTACAAGTTTAAACTATGCATAAAACAAAGCAACATTAAATTATAGGGAGCCACTAGGAGTCCTTTCTCTCTCTTCAGATTTAAAAGCTCTTAGAGGTCTCCCTATTTTAGGAGGTGGTTGGAGTTGTATTTTTCCAATTCCTCCCTAAAATTTGTCTAAGGAGGTGGTTTAAGGAGTCCATTGATGATTATAGACCTACAAAGTTGAATGGATAATGGGTTACTAGGCTACATTTAGGTGGACTACTAAGATTTTATGGATTGAATCATATTAAAATACATATAGTATATTTAATTTTTTTTTAAAGGCTACATGGGGACTTAGCCGTGTGAGGAGAGAGGGAGAGAGGGGCGGCAAGAGAGAGAGAAAGAGAGAGAGAGAGTGAGAGGTGTCTCTCTCGGGTTTTTGAGCTAGGTTTAGAATTACCTTGAATGCTTAGTGTAACCATGTATTTATAGACTCCTTGTGTGCTGGTTTTGCAAAGAATACTTATCTATTTGGAAGGAAAATATTATCTCTTAATTAGGTCTAAATAATCCCCCAAACAAATGGGCCTGATTATTGACCTATGATATATTTTTTTTTGTTCATGTGGCGCCTTGCGATTGGAGCACTAAGATATTTGCTCCCACACTTATCCATGTTGGTCTGCTATGCGTGGAAGAAAATGCAGCTTATCGGCCCTACCATGTTAGATGTTATATCAATGTTGTTGACAAATTAAAGCATGGCATTAACCAACACCAAATTGTCCAATCATGCTCACATCACTTATAATTTCCTTTGTTCCAAATCTTGCAATTGTTCCCAATTTGTTCACCAAATCTACGAATATCAATTGCAATTAGATTGACTATCCATTTGCATAATCTTAAGATTGTTTGATTAAAAAAAATCAGACACTTTCATATTATAATCAATCCATGAATTAATTGGATAACCGATTCATATTGGAGAAGAGATGGAGGAGATGGAATATGAAGCTGTCCTTTCTTTTTTGGGTGGTGGGAGTACGATGCGTCACATGAATAGGTTATTTTTTAATTTTATCATTATGATGGATAGGAACTAATGTGAAAACACCGATTAAAAAACAACCCATATCAAGAATTTTCGAACCCAAAACTCAATCCAAACCCATATCAAGAGAGGTTTAAGTTCATGGTCCTTTGCTCTATGTATGTGAGTGGGATTGTAAGATTGGATTTTATTTTGGTGAGAGTCTGCCGCTTGCGAATTTCCTCATCTGGGTCTATTTTTATACGCAAAGCAGTGAGATTTTATACTTGTGAAGATATCAGATGTGATGTGATGCAAAGGGCAAGTAATTTTCTGGGCACAATCTTCAACAGAAGCCCACAACTTGGTTGTTTGGTGTTGGGTGTTTACTTGTCCACGCTTTGACGTCGCCCACGGAACATGACCACCTGCTTATATTATATTTTCACCATGAATCTTAGATTCTTGAACTATTCTTCAGGGTTGTAGGGGCTTCTTCTTCGCTTGAGTATAAATTCTTCTTTGATTTGATGGGGCTTCTTCTTCTCCTTTCTACATTTTTTTTCCGAAGATTTTATCTTCTTCTCCATTTTCTATGCAGAGTTTGCGGATGGGAGTTGTGTAAGGGACAAAGACTGTCCATTTGAAAAATAAGTGAGGGCAATATCGAAAATCCAAAGTCTCATTAAACCCACCGGTTAAATTTTTTTATAAGCAGCTTTTGTTTTTGTTTTTTCTTTTTGGGTTTCCCAGGGTATCCCCCCGTTTCCCAGGTATCCCCGCGCGACTGCGGAGACTAAATCCCTCGAGGTACGGTCAGGCGCAAAGTGGGGACCTCTCCCAACAGAGTCTGCTCTATTCGCAAGTGCCTGGGATCGAACCCAGGACCTCTTGTTTAAAGGATCCAAGCCCCTTCCAGTTGGACCAACTCATGTTGGTGATTATAAGCAGCTTTTGAAAGCTGCCTTCTACTGCTTTGAAAAAACAAGGGTCGCTTACTGCAAATTAAAAAAAAAGCTGATTGTTGATGTTTACCAAACACTTTAGTTTTGAAATTTTTTATTTAAAGCTGCTTTTTTCCCAAACGCTACCTTAATTATGTCTAAATAATCCCCCAAACAAATGGGCCCGATTATTGACCTATGAGATATTTTTTTTGTTCATGTGGCGCCTTGCGATTGGAGCACCGAGATATTTGCTCCCACACTTATCCATGTTGGTTTGCTATGCGTGGAAGAAAATGCAGCTTATCGGCCCTACCATGTTAGATGTTATATCAACGTTGTTGACAAATTAAAGCATGGCATTAACCAACACCAAATTGTCCAATCATGCTCACATCACTTATAATTTCCTTTGTTCCAAATCTTGCAATTGTTCCCAATTTGTTCACCAAATCTACGAATATCAATTGCAATTAGATTGACTATCCATTTGCATAATCTTAAGATTGCTTGATTAAAAAAAAATCAGACACTTTCATATTATAATCAATCCATGAATTAATTGGATAACCAATTCATATTCTTTGGAGAAGAGATGGAGGAGATGGAATATGAAGCTGTCCTTCCTTTTTTGGGTGGTGGGAGTACGATGCGTCACATGAATAGGTTATTTTTTAATTTTATCATTATGATGGATAGGAACTAATGTGATAGTGCATCCAAACAGTATTCTAATATCATGAAGGTTATTTAAGTATTTATCATGAGGGGATGTTTGTGTAATTCAAAGAACCTCAGGAGGTGAAAACACGAAAAATTTCAGGAGATATTAGTATAAATAATTCTAAAAATTTGTGACGTCCTAGGGTCAGCGGGGCACGTGTCTCTAGGTCCAAAGGTGACCCAACATCATTTGGTACCTCGACCAAAAAAACAAAAATCATTTGCCATTTGGTACCAAACAAAAAAAAAAAAGGCTCTATGGGTTGAAAAAAGGTTCATAAAAACACACTTCGGCAAGCTGTTCTTTCTCTCCTCCATATTTATTTATTTTAAATTGGCAATGTGTAAAGATTCACCGTGTCTTTCCTAACACGGGAAGAGATGAAAGAGAGTGTTTTTTTTCCTCTACTAGTTTTGTTGACCAGAAAAAGAAAAGTTTTTCTTTCTAATTCTCTAATATAATACACAATATGATAATATATTATTTATATTTTATGAGTGTTACTAAACGAACTTTAAAATTAACTAAGTATATCCTAATATTTAAATCAAAATGTAAAATTAACTAAGTATATTTTATTTAACTACTAAAAATATCAAAAATTAACTAAATACACCTATATTTAGAAGCCATCATAATAACGGGGTCACCGTTTTCTTTCTTTTTCGTAATAACTGTTGTTTGAGGTCCATTGTTGTATGCGGACAAAAAGTATATGGTATACCATTCAAACCTGACTTTTCAGCCTCACATTCAGTTCTTCAGCCTTTCAGATTCAGTTCTTCAGCCTTTATCTTCTCTCTTTTTGTTTCAAACCCGAGTTATTGAGAGCAAAATCCTACAGCAGCTGTACAGAGTTCATTGCAGTTGCAGCTACAATAGGTAATTTTCCTATATAACATATAGGTGACTATACATTTGATCTCTTCTTTCTCTTTCAGTCTTCTAAACATGAAAAAATTGATGGGTAGTTTTTCATATATTTATCCATTCATTTAAAGTTTTGTTAATTAGTAGAGAGGTGGATTTTGTTTCAGGAATCACCTCTGGAAGCAAATTAATACATGAATTTTTAAATCAAGACCCTTTATCTCTGGGCTAAACCCCCTTAGCTTCTCTAATCCATAATTTTTCTTTTTACATTTACAAATTTCCTACTTTACCATTAAAAAAGAAGTAAATGTGGGTCTTCCTTAAATAGGAGACCATGTTCTAGTTTCTTGAATGAAAGTTTTTAATTAGAAAGCAAATTATTAATTTACCATTTTATCATTGTTGAATAAATTGATCTCACACCATACTTGTTATTACCCGAGGATATATTTGCTAATACATTAGTCTTTCTATTTTTCTCCTTTTTATTTATATTAAATTTTTAAGAAAGACTTGTTATATATATATATATTTTTTTTGTTCCATATACAAATATCGTTTCTTTTTTACATCAAGTAAATATAAAGATATTTAAAAATATAAAAAAAATATATAAAAGAAAAAAGAATGTGGGTGAAGTGGAGTGGGGAGTAAAAAGAGGAATGTGGATGGGGCGGGGGAGTAACTTCCTTCATATAATTACTTAGGTGGAATTTATTTTTTATTTTATAATTAAGCAAATTAGTGTTTTACCATTTTACCCCTATTATATTGATTTGCAATCCTTTAACACTTTGATTAATAAGGATATTTTTTGAATGTTTTACCATTCTTTGCATTTTGCTTTATACATAGATAAGATGAGTTAATACACGTTAACTCCCCAACTGAAGCAACTTGAAGAAGCTAGTTTATATAAATTTGTTTATTCTCGATAGTAATGATATAATCTATATATTGCCACTTATGCCTACATTAAATTTTAATTTTTACTGGTAGTGAATATAGCTTAGTTGGTTGAGGTTTTTAACCTTTACTTATGCGGGCAGGGGTTCGGAAACCTTCAGGCACCCAATAAATATTGTGTAAACCCCCTCCCCCAATCACTTGTACTAAAAAAAACTTAATATTTACTAGCATACCCTTTCTCTCTCACATCCCATTTTTTTTTCACTCTTTTAACTTCCTCTCTTGCACCAAGTAGCTATCAATTTAGTGGCACTTCTCTTTTCAAATGTTGAAAGATATCCCAAATTTGAACTCTCCATACCCCATTGATGAAAACAAAAAACCTTCATGCATAGCATAGCATTTAGGGGTGAAATTTTAGGAGACATGGTAGCACAACTTAGAAACGACACGAAATAATTAGTCTCATTCACCACATGCATAGCACGTAGTGGTATAATATCGGACATGAAATAATTATTTTTACTGAACCACATAAGTTTTATTTGAACTATTTTCTAGGGGATTCCCTGTTTTCATGTTTGAAAAGCCTTGCAGAACCCTTGAATTAGGGTTCCTAATTAGATCTCACATTCAAAGTTTTAATTTGGACACCTGGGTTGAATGGTTCCCCTGTTTATCCCAAGTCCTGTTTGTTCCTGAATTCCAATGTAATTTTTAGGGACGTATCGCTTTAGCTTTGTTGCTTTTCTGGTGCAGGCCTCCTGTAAAAGTTCTTGGTTCCGCAATTGCTCATGGCTAGCTGCAGTCTCAACTTAGTTTGGTCGCTGATAAGCTTTTCATGCACCATGTGGAGTGCATGTTATGCTGCAAACAGGGACACACTGAAACCAGGAGACACTCTCAATTCCTCAGATACCTTAGTTTCTGCCATGGGGTCGTTCACTTTGAGTTTCACTGCATTAGATCAGAACAAACCGAACTACAGCTACCTAGTTCTTGAGGGGACTGAAAGTGTAGGATATAGTTTCCTGGTCTGGATTGCCAACGGGAACACACCAATTATGTACCCTACGGGAGCTCTTACCTTGGACAGGAATGGAACACTGAAAATTACGCAAAAAGGTCGTGATCCTATAGAGCTTTTCTCAGCGCCACGAACTACCACTATTAACAGTACTACTAGTGTTGTGGTGGCTACTCTGTTGGATACTGGAAACTTTATCCTACAGGAACTGAGCTCTGTCGATGGATCAACGAAGCAAGTTTTGTGGCAAAGTTTTGATTATCTTGCAAGCATATTTTTACCAGGCATGAAATTAGGTGTGAACTACAGAAATGATCACACTTGGTTGCTTACATCAGGAGCATTCACCTTTGAATGGGACCCCAAAGGACACCAATTTCAAATCAAACAACGCGGGGTGCTTTATTGGAGTAGCGGCGCATTTAGAGATGGGACATTTGAATTTCTATCACCTTATTATGGACCCAAAAACGAGAGCGTTTGTAACTTTAGCATAGTTTCAAATGAGAACGAAAACTACTTCACTTACAATACTACTGTAAATTATAGTAACCTATGGATGCTAGACTCAAAGGGGTACCTAAGGCAAACACTGTCGGACAGCGCAGCGGAGTCCGTTCAATCAAAACCTACAGGAGGCTGTGATGGAAATAACACGGACGGAGGGTGCCAGAAAATGCCCCAGCCAACTTGTAGGCATCTTGGTGATAGATTTGAGAAAAAAGTGGGTTTTTTCAGTCCAGTAATTGAATCATCTGAACCAACCATTGATTCAAATACAAGCCTCGGCATTAGTGATTGTCAGGCGGCTTGTTGGGAAAATTGTGACTGTCTTGGGTTCTACTTTAATTTTGATAACGAGACTGGATGCAGATTTTGGACTGGAAAATCGGAGTTCAATGAAGACACTACTGGCAATACCACAACGAATTACTTTGTTTTAACAAAGTCATCTCGCGAAAAAGAAACACCAAAGTCATCTCGCCGTAACGGTAAGTCTACTAAGATATATAGGATCATTTCACAAGTACCAATGACTACCAAGTGTAATGAGAATAAATTTCAGGCACATGTACATAAGTATAAATGTACATGCCTACAATGAATATTGAAGAATTATCTCTTCACATTTGTGTTACTATGTGCAGCACATAAGTGGATATGGATTGGCACGGCTATTGCCGCTGCTCTATTGGTAATGGTGCTTTGCATCTCGTGCTATCTACTAAGGAGGAAACTATTTTCAGGTAGACTCTTTAAACATCTATGAAGGCTTTGGAAATTGTAAATTTTAATTTTCTTACAACATTAATCTAAACAGAGGAGACCAACCCGATGATCGAGAATGAATTGCTTGAATGGATGGAATCTGATAGATCCACTGGCGATGTCAAGGGGCTTCAAAATGATAGAAAGATGGGAAATAATTTGACAGTATTTCGCTACGCATCTGTCGTGGCTGCCACAACTAACTTCTCGGAAGAAAACAAGCTCGGACAGGGGGGCTTTGGACCTGTTTATAAGGTAATTAAGGTTTTAAATAAAAATGAGTGTCTTTGTATTAATAACTGAAAAATATAAACCTGATTACTTGGTGCTATATTATGGATTATTAACGAAGGGAAAACTTTTGACGGGACAAGAAATCGCTGTGAAGAGGCTTTCAAGATGTTCA